CTTGGGAACTGACTGACCTGGGGAACTGACTTGCGAATCTGTCTTGGGAATAAGACTTGGGAATCTGACTTGGAATCTAACCTGGGAATCTGACCTGTGAATCTGACCTCGGAATCTGACCTGAGAATCTGACCTGGGAATCTGACCTGGTAATCTGACCTGGAATCTGTCCTGGGAATGTGACCTGGGAAAGTGACCTGGGAATGTGACCTGCGAATCTGACTCGAGATTGTGCCTTGGGAATCTGACCTGGAGATCTGAATTGGGAATCAGACTGGAATCTGACCTGGGAATCTGACCTGGTACTCTGACCTGGGAATGTGACTTGGGAATCTGACCTAGGAATCTGACTTGGAATCTGACGTGGCAATCTGACCTGGGAATCTGACCTGGGAATCTGACATGGGAATCTGACCTGGGAATCTGACCTGGGGATCTGACTCGAGATTAGGACATGTGACCTGGGAATCTGAGCTGGAAATCTGACCTGGGAATGTGACATGCGAATCTGACCTGGGAATCTGACCTGGGGATCTGACTCGAGATTCTGACTTGGGAATCTGACCTGGGGATCTGACTTGGAAATCTGACCTTGGAATCTCACATGGGAATGTGACATGGGAATCTGACCTGGGAATCTGACCTGGGGATCTGACTCGAGATTATGACTCGGGAATCTAACCTGGGGATCTGACTTGGGAATCTGATTTGGGAATAAGACTTGGGAATCTGATTGGAATCAGACTTGGAATGTGACCTGGGAATCTGACCTGGGGATCTGAGTTGAGAATCTGACTGGGGAATATGACTCGGCAATCTGACTGGAATCTGACTTGGAATCCTGGGAATCTGACATGGGAATGTGACATAGGAATCTAACCTTTGGATCTGACTCGAGATTATGACTTGGTCAACTGACCTGGGGATCTGACTTGGGAGTCCGACTAGGGAATAAGACTTGGGAATCTGACTGGAATCTGACTTGGAATCTGACGTGGGAATCTGACCTGGGAATCTGACCTGAAACTCTGACCTGGGAATCTGACATGGGAATCTGACCTGGGAATCTGACCTGGGAATCTGACATGGGAATCTTACCTGGGAATCTCACATGGGAGTCTGACCCGGGAATGTGACCTTGTAAAGTGACCTGGGAATCTGACATGGGAATCTGACCTGGGAATCTGACCTGGTGATCTGACTCGAGATTCTGACTTGGGAATAAGAATTGGGAATCTGACTTGGAATCTGACCTAGGAATCTGACGTGGGAATCTGACCTGGGAATCTGACCTGGGACTCTGACCTGGGAATGTGACATGGGAATCTGCCCTGGGGATCTGACTCGAGATTATGACTTGGGAATAAGAATTGGGAATCTGACTTGGGAATCTGACTAGGAATCTGACATGGGAGTCTGACCTGCGAATCTGACCTGGGAATCTGACCACGGAATCTGACCTGGGAATCTGACATGGGAATCTGACCTGGGAATCTGACCTGGGAATCTGACCTGGGGATCTGACTCGAGATTATGACTTGGGAATCTAATCTGGGGATATGACTTGGGAATCTGACTTGGGAACGACTTGGGAATCTGACTGGAATCTGACTTGGAATCAGACTGGAATTTGACTTGGAATCTGACGTGGGAATCTGACCTGGGAATCTGACCTGGGACTCTGACCTGGGAATGTGACATGGGAATGTGACATGGGAATCTGACCTGGGGATCTGACTCGAGATTATGACTTGGGAATAAGAATTGGGAATCTGACTTGGGAATCTGACTTGGAATCTGACGTGGGAATCTGACCTGGGAATGTGACCTGGGAATCTGACATGGGAATCTGACCTGGGGATCTGACTCGAGATTATGACTCGGGAATCTAACCTGGGGATCTGACTTGGGAATCTGACTTGGGAATAAGACTTGGGAGTCTGACTGGTATCTGACTTGGAATGTGACCTGGGAATCTGACCTGGGGATCTGAGTTGAGAATCTGACTGGGGAATATGACTCGGCAATCTGACTGGAATCTGACTTGGAATTCTGGGAATCTGACATGGGAATGTGACATAGGAATCTAACCTGGGGATCTGACTCGAGATTATGACTTGGGAAACTGACCTGGGGATCTGACTTGGGAGTCCAACTAGGGAATAAGACATGGGAATCTGACCTGGGAATCTGACCTGGGAATCTGACCTGGGAATCTGACATGGGAATCTGACCCGGGAATCTGACCTGGGAATCTGACCCGGGAATCTGACTTGGAATCTGACGTGGGAATCTGACCTGGGAATCTGACCTGGGAATCTGACATGGGAATCTTACCTGGGAATCTCACCTGGGAGTCTGACCCGGGAATGTGACCTTGTAAAGTGACCTGGGAATCTGACTTGGGAATCTGACCTGGGAATCTGACTTGGGAATCTGACTAGGAATCTGACATGGGAATCTGAGCTGGGAATCTGACATGAGAATCGGACCAGGGGATCAGACTTGGGAAACTGACTTGGAATCCGACCTGTGAATCTGACCTGGGAATCTTACCTGGGAATCTCACCTGGGAGTCTGACCTGGGAATGTGACCTGGGAAAGTGACCTGGGAATCTGACCTAGCAATCTGACCTGGGAATCTGACATGGGAAGCGGACCTGGGGATCTGACTTGCAAATCTGACTCGAAATCGGACCTGGGAATGTGACCTGGGAATCTGACCTGGGAATCTGACCTGGGAATCTGACCTGGGAAGCTGACAAGGAATCCGACCTGGGAATCTGACTTGGAATCTGACCTGGGAATCTGACTTGGAATCTGACCTGGGAATCTGACCTGGGAATCTGACCCGGGAATCTGACTTGGAATCGGACCTGGGAATCTGACCTGAGAATCTGACATGGGAATCTGAGCTGGGAATCTGACATGAGAATCGGACCAAGGGATCAGACTTGGGAAACTGACTCGGAATCCGACCTGGGAATCTGACCTGGGAATCTGATCTGGAATCTCACCTGGGAATCTGACTTGGGAATCTGACCTGGGAATCTGACATGGGAATGGGACATGGGGATCTGACTCGGGAAACTGACTCGGAATCCGACCTGGGAATCTGACCTGAGAATCTGACCTGGGAATCTGACCTGGGAGTCTGACCTGGGAATGTGACCTGGGAATCTGACCTGGGAATCTGACTTGAAAATGTGACCTCGGAATCTGACCTGGGAATCTGACCTGGGGATGTGACTCGAGATTATGACTTGGGAATCTAATCTGGGGATATGACTTGGGAATCTGACTTGGGAACGACTTGGGAATCTGACTGGAATCTGACTTGGAATCTGACTGGAATTTGACTTGGAATCTGATGTGGGAATCTGACCTGGGAATCTGACCTGGGACTCTGACCTGGGAATGTGACATGGGAATGTGACATGGGAATCTGACCTGGGGATCTGACTTGCGAATCTGACTTGGGGATCTGACTTGGGAATTGGGCTTGGGAATCGGACTTGGAATCTGACCTGGGAATTTGACCTGGGAATATGACCTGGGAATCTGACTTGGGAATCTGACCTGGGAATAGGACTTGGGAATCTGAGTGGAATCTGACCTGGGAATCTGACCCGGGCATCTGACCTGGGAATCTGACCTGCAAATGTGACATGGGAATGTGACATGGGAATCTGCCCTGGAGATCTGACTCGAGATTATGACTTGGGAATAAGACTTGGGAATAAGACTTGGGAATAAGACTTGGGAATCTGACTTGGGAATCTGACTTGGAATCTGACGTGGGAATCTGACCTGGGAATCTGACCTGGGAATCTGACATGGGAATCTGACCTGGGAATCTGACCTGGTGATCTGACTCGAGATTATGACTTGGGAATCTAACCTGGGGATATGACTTGGGAATCTGACTGGAATCTGACTCGGAATCTGACCTGGGAATCTGACCCGGGCATCTTACCTGGGAATCTGACCTGCAAAAATGACATGGGAATCTGACCTGGGAATCTGACCTGGTGATCTGCCTCAAGATTATGACTTGGGGATCTGACGGAATAGGACTTGGGAATCAGACTGGAATGTGACTTCGAATCTGACCTGGGAATCTGACCTGGGAATCTGACCTGGGAATCTGACATGGGAATCTGACCTGGGAATCTGACCTGGGGATCTGGCTCGAGATTATGACTCGGGAATCTAACCTGGAGATCTGACTTGGGAATCTGACTTGGGAATATGACTTGGGAATCTGTCTGGTATCTGACTTGGAATCTGACCTGGGAATCTGACCTGGGAATCTGACCTGCGAATGTGACCTGGGAATCTGACCTGGGGATCCGACTTGAGAATCTGACTGGGGAATATGACTTGGGAATCTGTCTGGAATCTGACTTGGAATCTGACCTGGGAGGGAATCTGACCTGGGAATCTGACCTGGGGATCTGACTCGAGATTATGACTTGGGAATCTGACCTGGGGATTTGACTTGGGAATCTGACTTGGGAATAAGCCTTGGGAAGCTGACTTGGCAGGCAGGCACAAACCACACGCAGGGCAACATGATTCAGGCATGAGAGTGGGTCATGGTGATTCAGGCATCAGAGTGGGTGATGGTGATTCAGACAAGTGTGAGAGGAAGTTGTTGGGATCATTGTAGCTGACAGTGAGATGCATGGTGTCAAAGCAGTGGAGGGGATGGGAGGCAGAAAGAGGGGGAAACGAGGAGCAGATGAACGAGTTGGAATAAATGGCAAGAGCACAACATGAAGCAGGGAGGACACAAGTGACAGAATGGCCGACCCAGACTGTCAAAAGATGAGCAAAAGTAGCAGAAATGGGGGAGAGAAGGTGAGACGAATGGAGGTGAGAAGATGAGAAGTTATGGGCGTGAAATGATGGGGGCGGGGTGGATGAATGGAGGAGTAAATTCAGATTGTAAGCAATGTTGAGGGTAAGGCATTAGCAATGACAACGACGCCAGTGACCATTACTGGGATGACAGCGGCAAAAACTGGAGGAATGCAGCTGGAGCTCGCGGGCAGAGGGACGGCTTCTTGCTCATGGTTCTGCTCACCCCATTGCCCCTGCTTGGAATGGAACGCAGCAGGAGCTCACGGGCTGCAAGTTGCAACACGCGGTGTAAGCCTCCGCACCGCACACGCAGGCAGAAGCAGCAGAGGCGCAAGCAACACAAGAGCAGGCGCTTGGACCAAGCGCCACCTCCTGCCATCGCCCCTTCCACCACTCCCCCCTCCACCGTTCCTTACTCCAGCGTTCCCTGCTCTGTATATCCCCCGTTGGCGCTGCAGGCAGTATCAGCCATTCCTTCCAAGTCAACCCTGCCCCATCCCCCCCCCCCCCCTCACCGCACGCACCACCCAACCCAGCCGCTACCGCCCCTGTTGCATGTTCGCTAGCAGCAGCTGATTCTGCAGGCAAGCGAGTGGGAGAAGGTTCTGCTGTCACGCTATGCAGGCTTCGTTTGAAGCACAGCAACCTGTTGGTACTCGTGCCTGTATCTCCATTTCAAGCTGCTTCTGTGGCTGTATTCCAACCGCGCCCATCTCTCTGCTACAGCACCACTTGCTGCTTAGTATTAAGATCAAAACCGTATGAAGAGTGGTTTGGCAGAAATAAATCCAATACATTAGGGAGAATCAGCCCACTAGTATTAGTCCTATGGATGTATGCTACCTATGTATACATTCAGCCCACTGTACAATACATGCAGCACCGAACCAGCACTTACGGCTGCACGGGCATGACTTGTCTGGCGCGGCCGTACGCGGTATAAGCGCAATCCACAGCGAGCACGTCGCTCGCCTCGTACGACCTGGGTGTGCCATCAAGGAAGCCCTTGCCCTCCGCGCCATCGGCGGAGATCGGACGGTGCAGGCTCGCGATCAGGCGCTGGAAGTCCGCGGCGCGCTGCGAGTGATCCGCGCGATACGTCTGTCCGAGCACGCCGTGAATCTCCTCCGTGTGCTCCAGCTCCGCAATTCCCACATTGATGTGCGCCTCGGCGTCGGTCGGGGTTTGCAGCTTGGGGTGAGCCACGCGCAGGCGGAGGTCGAGCGAAACCAGGCCGTCGATCGTGAGCAGGTAGTAATCGACATCGAACGGTCCCTCCTTCTCGAGCCCGCGGAATTCGACCTTGAGCCCGCCGGCGCCGGTAACGCTGTCGCCGACCTGCATGCGAGGGATCTCCTCGCCGTCGATCTCGATGCTCTTCATGAATCCCTCGCCGCGCTCCTGCTGCTTGCCGCCGCGCGCCGCCAGCCGAATCTTGTGGTCCACGCCGCCGGCAGTCCACACGATGCCGAGCTCCTTGATCCACGTGTGCACTGCCTTGCCGTCGACGACCAGCGCCGCGTTGTCGGTCCTCTCGTCGTAGTAACCGCGGAGGAGCATGTTCACGTGGAGGTCGCGGTCGGTGAGCAGGCAGAAGGCCTTGTCGGGGCGGCCGTTGAAGTCGAAGTGCGTGCCGTGCGCGCCCACCAGATGCGGGTCGTTGAGGATCTTCGCCGCGGGGTTGCACTCGCCGCCGATGCGCACCTGCAGGGGCACGGGCTTCGTCTCCGTGCTGTACTGCGCGGTCATCTCTCCGCACGTGAAGTCAATCTGGTCGTGAATCAGGTAGCACGCGCCCTTGCCCTTCTTTCCGTCAATCGTGATATCGGGGATGTACTGCCAGTACGTGCACAGGGGCGTCGAGGCGCACGTGTTGCAGCACGACGCGGGGTTCGCCTTGAGCAGCGTCAGCGGGTTACCCGGCACGTACAGCTCGTAACCGAGCTTGTTCTTCTGCAGGTAGGCGGTCTTCCACTTGGCGGCGATTCCGCCCTTGGAGCAGTTCTTGGGCGTGCACGCTCCCGCCAGCTCCTTGTTCAAACCGGGCGGGCACTTTTGCGCGTTCCACCCCGCTTTCTTCACGTCAGCCATGAAAAACGTATCCTGAGCGGTATCGACGTAGGTAACACCGGCCGCGTCGCCTGACGCAGCAGCCTTCGCGATCGCGGCGGGGATTTCGGTCATGAGCCCGTCGTCCTTCTTGCTGCTCAGGTCGGGCTTCTCGTTGGCGGACGAGCTCGTGATGGGGCTGCCGGCGCGCGCGACGGCGACGAGCAGCGCCAGGGAGAGCGCGAGAAGCGCGGCTCTGGCCATTCTCACGCGCTGGGAGGGACGGGTATCGAGAACGAAGCTGCTATATACACTCAAGCTGTATGGAGATCGTCACTGGAAATCTGACTGGTTTCTGATCTGACTTTTGTGCGCTGGGAAAGCCACTTGCTTGCTGTGAGAGAGGAATAGCCGAGGGAGTGGTTTTATGCGGGAGGTAAGGGGAAGGATGAGTCTGGCTTGGGCCCTGCCTGCTGCTGCGAGTTGCAGGGCGAGCGAGTGACCTGACCTCACCTGATGGGGCTGGTGCTTCCGTGCCGCGTTGTTTGCTCGTGGGTGGTTATTTCAGGTGTGCTCCACTCCACTCACTTATCGAGCCGCAGGTCTCCTAGACGCACCAAGGGAATTCGGAACAGGTTTCAGGCGGATTGCGTACCCGTTATGAGGAGAGTTACAGGGAAATAGTGTCCGTAATTTTGTAAGAGCATATTATTTCTGAACCCCATCTATCTATGGCAATGACACATTCAGATTCATCAACACCATCACCATTGCTTTCGGCATCATTCAGAACCAGCCTCCAATAATGAATCGCAAATGAGTCTACCTCCTCCCACCAAGTACAGTATACTGTTACTCGCCTATCTTCTTTGGGTTCCACACACCCGTTGCACGTACCACCCACCGCACCACCCTTCTCCTTCCCACCTCAGCATTCTCATCTCCAACCAATACCATCAACCTCTCCTCCTCACTACCACTACCATCCCCGCTACGATGCGCATCACCAGCCATCGTAGGTGTGGCACCTATAAATCAGTCGCCTATTCTCTCTATAGTCCACATGCTACCTGTGGCACGTGCCACCACCACCCTACTCCTTCCTGCTCCAGCTGCACCAATCCCCACTCCCCAGCACCACTCTCGCCTCACCCCTGCCACCACCATCCTGGCTATCATGGCCACCACCAACAATGATTTCTGGTGAGGTAAGTCACTCCCCTATTCTCTCCATTCGGCGAATGGAGACCGGAAGGGGGGGCATTCGGCTGAATGGAATTGACGGGGAAGGGAAGGCGGGCACGTCAGTGTGGGGGGGGGGGGGGGGGGGGAGGGGAGAAGGGCGGTGAGAGGGAACGAGAAATGAGACTTTGGGGTAGAGGGAAGAGCCCAGCACCACGTACGGCCGCTGCGGGACAAAGAACACTGCCCCTCCTGCGTCCATCACCCCCTCCTCCACGTCAGCTACTGCGCCCTCTGCTTTAACCACACTCGCACCCTCCACACTCCCTTCACTGTCACTCTCTCTGATCCCTGTCGTCTCTGTGCTGCTTGGATCTGACTTGGGAATCTGACTTGGAATCTGACATGGGAGTCTCTGACCTGGGTATCTGACCTGGGAATGTGACCTGGGAATCTGACGCTGGAATCTGACCTGGTGATTTGACTCGAGATTATGACTTGGGGATCTGACTTGGGGATCTGACTTGGGGATCTGACTTGGGGATCTGACTGGAATCTGACTTGGAATCTGACCTGGGAATGTGACATGGGAATGTGACATGGGAATCTGACCTGGGGATCTGACTAGAGAATATGACTTGGGAATCTGACCTGAGGATGTGACTTGGGAATCTGACTCGGGAATAAGACTTGGGAATCTGACTGGAATCTGACTTGGAATCCGACCTGGGAATCTGACCTGGCAAAGTGAAATGGGAATCTGACCTGGGAATCTGACATGGGAGTCTCTGACCTGGGTATCTGACCTGGGAATGTGACCTGGGAATCTGACGCGGGAATCTGACCTGGTGATTTGACTCGAGATTATGACTTGGGCATCTGACTTGGGGATCTGACTTGGGAATCGAACTTGGAAATCTGACTGGAATCTAACTTGGAATCTGACCTGGGAATCTGACCTGGGAATCTGACCTGGGAATGTGACATGGGAATCTGACCTGGGGATCTGACTAGAGAATATGACTTGGGAATCTGACCTGAGGATGTGACTTGGGAATCTGACTCGGGAATAAGACTTGGGAATCTGACTTGGAATCCGACCTGGGAATCTGACCTGGCAAAGTGACCTGGGAATCTGACCTGGGAATCTGACCTGGGAATCTGACTTGGGAATGTGACCTGGGAATGTGACATGGGAATCTGACCTGGGGATGTGACGCGAGATTATGCCTTGGGAACTGACTGACCTGGGGAACTGACTTGCGAATCTGTCTTGGGAATAAGACTTGGGAATCTGACTGGAATCTGACCTGAGAATCTGACCTGGGAATCTGACCTGGGAATCTAACCTGGAATCTGACGTGGGAATGTGACCTGGGAAAGTGACCTGGGAATTTGACCTGGGAATGTGACATGGGAATCTGACATGGGAAGCGGACCTAGGAATCTGACCAGGGAGTCTGACCTGGGAATGTGACCTAGGAATCTGACCTGGGAATCTGACATGGGATTCTGACTTGGGAATCTGGCTTGGGAATGTGACTTGGGAATCTGACTGGAATCTGACTTGGAATCTGACCTGGGAATTTGATCTGGGGATCTGACTCAAGATTATGACTTGGGATTTGACCTGGGGATCTGACTTCGGAAACTTACTTGGAATCCGACCTGGGAATCTGACCTGGGAATCTGACCTGGGAGTCTGACCTGCGAATATGACCAGGGAAAGTGACCTGGGAATCTCACCAGGGAATCTGATCTGGGAATCTGACCTGGGGATCTGACTTGGGAATCTGACCTGGGAGTCTGACCTGGGAATCTGACCTGGCAATCTGACCTGGCTAGGGGATCTGACTCGAGATAATGACTTGGGAACTGACCTGGGGACCTGACCTGGGAATCGGACTTGGAATCTGACCTTGGAATTTGACCTGGGAATCTGACCTGGGAATCTGACATGGGCATCTGACCTGGCAATCTGACCTGGGGATCTGACTCGAGATTATGACTTGGGAATCTAACCTGGGGAGATGACTTGGGACTCTGATTTGGGAATACGACTTGGGAATCTGACTGGAATCTAACCTGGGAATCTGACCTGCAAATGTGACATGGGAATCGGACCTGGGAATCTGACCTGGTGATCTGACTCGAAATTATGACTTGGGGATCTGACTTGGGAATAGGACTTGGGAATCACAGTGGAATCTGACTCCGAATCTGACACGGGAATCTGACTTGGGGATCTGACTCGGGATTATGACTTGGGAATAAGACTTGGGAATCTGACTTGGGAATCTGACTCGGAATCTGACCTGGGAATCTGACATGGGAATCTGACCTGGCAATCTGACCTGGGGATCTGGCTCGAGATTATGACTTGGGAATCTTACCTGGGGAGATGACTTGGGACTCTGACTTGGGAATACGCCTCGGGAATCTGACTGGAATCTAACCTGGGAATCTGACCTGCAAATGTGACATGGGAATCGGACCTGGGAATCTGACCTGGTGATCTGACTCGAAATTATGACTTGGGGATCTGACTAGGGAATAGGACTTGGGAATCAGACTGGAATCTGACTCCGAATCTGACCTGGGAATCTGATCTGGGAATGTGACATGGGAATCTTACCGGGGAATCTGACCTGGGGAGTCTGACTAGGGAATCAGACTTGGGAATCTGACTGGAATCTGACTTGGAATCTGACCTGGGAATCTGACCTGGGACTCTGACCTGGGAATGTGACATGGGAATCTGACCTGGGGATCAGACACGATTTTATGACTTGGGAATAAGAATTGGGAATCTGACTTGGGAATCTGACTCGGAATCTGACCTGGGAATCTGACCAGGGAATCTGACCTGAGAATCTGACCTGGGAATCTGACATGGGAATCTGACCTGGGAATCTGACTTGGGGATCTGACTCGAGATTATGACTTGGGGATCTGACATGGGAATAGGACTTGGGAATCAGACTGGAATGTGACTTCGAATCTGACCTGGGAATCAGACCTGGGAATCAGACCTGGGAATCTGACCTGGGAATCTGACCATGGAATGTGACATGCGAATCTGACCTGGGAATCTGACCTGGGGATCTGACTTAAGATTATGACTTGGGAATAAGACTTGGGAATCTGACTTGGGAATCTGACTCGGAATCTGACCTGGGAATCTGACCTGGGAATGTGACATGCGAATCTCACCTGGGAATCTGACCTGGGGATCTGACTAGAGATTATGACTTGGGAATCTGACCTGGGGATCTGACTTGGAAATCTGACTTGAGATCTGACTTGGCAATCTGACCTGGCTAGGGGATCTGACTCGAGATAATGACTTGGGAACTGACCTGGGGACCTGACCTGGGAATCGGACTTGGAATCTGACCTTGGAATCTGACCTGGGAATCTGACCTGGGAATGTGACATGGGAATGTGACGTGGGAATCTGACCTGGGGATCTGACTCGAGATTATGACTTGGGAATAAGACTTGGGAATCTGACTTGGGAATCTGACTCGGAATCTGACCTGGGAACTGACCTGGGAATCTGACCTGGGAATCTGACCTGGGAATCTGACCTGGGAATCTGACATGGGAATCTGACTTGGAAAATATGACCTGGGGATCTGACTCGAGATTATGACTTGGGAATCTAACCTGGGGAGATGACTTGGGACTCTGACTTGGGAATACGACTTGGGAATCTGACTGGAATCTAACCTGGGAATCTGACCTGCAAATGTGACATGGGAATCTGACCTGGGAATCTGACCTGGTGATCTGACTCGAGATTACGACTTGGGGATCTGACTAGGGAATAGGACTTGGGAATCAAACTGGAATCTGACTCCGAATCTGACCTGGGAATATGACCTGGGAATCTGACCTGGGAATGTGACCTGGGAATCTGACTGGAGATTATGACATGGGAATCGAACCTGGTGACATGGGAATCTGACCTGAGAATCTAACCTGGTGATCTGACTCGAGATTGTGACTTGGGTATAGGACTTGGGAATCAGACTGGAATGTGACTTCGAATCTGACCTGGGAATCAGACCTGGGAATCTGACCTGGGAATCTGACCAGGGAATGTGACATGCGAATCTGACCTGGGAATCTGACCAGGGGATCTGACTCGAGATTATGACTTGGGAATCGGACCTGGGGATCTGACTTGGAAATCTGACTGGAAATTGACTTGGAATCTGACCTTGGAATCTGACCTGGGAATGTGACATGGGAATGTGACATGGGAATCTGCCCTGGGGATCTGACTCGAGATTATGACTTGGGAATAAGACTTGGGAATAAGACTTGGGAATCTGACTTGGGAATCTGACTGGAATCTGACTTGGAATCCTGGGAATCTGACATGGGAATGTGACATAGGAATCTAACCTGGGGATCTGACTCGAGATTATGACTTGGGAGATCTGACCTGGGAGATCTGACCTGGGAGTCCGACTAGGGAAAAAGACTTGGGAATCTGACTGGAATCTGACTTGGAATCTGACGTGGGAATCTGACCTGGGACTCTGACCTGGGAATGTGACATGGGAATCTGACCTGGGGATCAGACACGATTTTATGACTTGGGAACAAGAATTGGGAATCTGACTTGGGAATCTGACTCGGAATCTGACCTGGGAATCTGACCAGGGAATCTGACCTGAGAATCTGACCTGGGAATCTGACATGGGAATCTGACATGGGAATCTGACCTGGGAATCTGACATGGGAATCTGACCTGGGGATCTGACTCGAGATTATGACTTGGGGATCTGACATGGGAATAGGACTTGGGAATCAGACTGGAATGTGACTTCGAATCTGACCTGGGAATCAGACCTGGGAATCTGACCTGGGAATCTGACCATGGAATGTGACATGCGAATCTGACCTGGGAGTCTGACCTGGGAATCTGACCTGGCAATCTGACCTGGCTAGGGGATCTGACTCGAGATAATGACTTGGGAACTGACCTGGGGACCTGACCTGGGAATCGGACTTGGAATCTGACCTTGGAATTTGACCTGGGAATCTGACCTGGGAATCTGACATGGGAATCTGACCTGGCAATCTGACCTGGGGATCTGACTCGAGATTATGACTTGGGAATCTAACCTGGGGAGATGACTTGGGACTCTGATTTGGGAATCTGACTTGGGAATCTGACTGGAATCTAACCTGGGAATCTGACCTGCAAATGTGACATGGGAATCGGACCTGGGAATCTGACCTGGTGATCTGACTCGAAATTATGACTTGGGGATCTGACTTGGGAATAGGACTTGGGAATCAGACTGGAATCTGACTACAAATCTGACCTGGGAATCTGACCTGGGAATCTGACCTGGGAATGTGACATGGGAATCTTACCTGGGAAACTGACCTGGGGAGTCTGACTAGGGAAAAAGACTTGGGAATCTGACTGGAATCTGACTTGGAATCTGACGTGGGAATCTGACCTGGGAATCTGACCTGGGACTCTGACCTGGGAATGTGACATGGGAATCTGACCTGGGGATCTGACACGAGATTATGACTTGGGAATAAGAATTGGGAATCTGACTTGGGAATCTGACATGGGAATCTGACCTGGGAATCTGACTTGGGGATCTGACTCGAGATTATGACTTGGGGATCTGACATGGGAATAGGACTTGGGAATCAGACTGGAATGTGACTTCGAATCTGACCTGGGAATCTGACCTGGGAATCTGACCTGGGAATGTGACATGCGAATCTGACCTGGGAATCTGACCTGGGGATCTGACTCGAGATTATGACTTGGGAATCTGACCTGGAGATCTGCCTTGGGAATCTGACTGGAATCTGACTTGGAATCTAACCTTGGGATCTGACCTGGGAATCTGACCTAGGAATCTGACCTGGGAATGTAACATGGGAATCTGATCTGGGAATCTGACCTGGGGATCTGACTCAAGATTATGACTTGGGAATAAGACTTGGGAATCTGACTTGGGAATCTGACTCGGAATCTGACCTAAGAATCTGACCTCGGAATCTGACCTGGGAATCTGACCTGGGAATCTGACTTGGGAATCTGACCTGGGAGTCTGACCTGGGAATCTGACCTGGCAATCTGACCTGGCTTGGGGATCTGACTCGCGATAATGACTTGGGAACTGACCTGGGGACCTGACTTGGAAATCGGGCTTGGGAATCGGACTTCGAATCTGACCTGGGAATCTGACCTGGGAATCTGACCTGGGAATCTGACATGGGAATGTGACCTGGGAATCTGACCTGGGGATCTGACTCGAGATTATGACTTGGGAATCTGACCTGGGGATCTGACTTGGAAAGCTGACTGGAAATTGACTTGGAATCTGACCTGGGAATCTGACCTGGGAATCTGACCTGGGAATGTGACATGGGAATGTGACATGGGAATCTGACCTGGGGATCTGACTCGAGATTATGACTTGGGAATAAGACTTGGGAATCTGACTTGGGAATCTGACTCGGAATCTGACCTAAGAATCTGACCTCGGAATCTGACCTGGGAATCTGACCTGGGAATCTGACATGGGAATCTGACCTGGGAATCTGACCTGGGAATCTAACCTAGGGAGATGACTTGGGAATCTGACTTGGGAATACGACTTGGGAATCTGAGTGGAATCTGACCTCGGAATCTGACCCGGGCATCTGACCTGGGAATCTGACCTGCAAATGTGACATGGGAATGTGACATGGGAATCTGCCCTGGGGATCTGACTCGAGATTATGACTTGGGAACTGACTGACCTGGGGAACTGACTTGTGAATCTGTCTTGGGAATAAGACTTGGGAATCTGACTGGAATCTGACCTGAGAATCT